TGAGGAGTGTTGCAATATTCGTAGAATGCATTAGAGCTTTCAAAAAAAAAAACACTATCAGACTAAAACGATTATTTATTTAAGTGAAACGTCGGAGACTTGCAGAGAAACGGATGAGTAAACCTCAGCATAATTAATTGATATATGAGAGTTGAGAGAAACTTATCTTGATTAGCTGACGCGAGGTTTGTAAAGTAATAGTAATTCGGCCGACGTTTCGTCGACCCACCTTCTTCAGATCCTGGACATATGTAGTATTACTTTATTTAAATGAATCGGAGAATCTTGTTTATATGCAGCCTAGGTCAGGGTGAAAGATCAAGCGAAGAAAGGGAGCGAAATCTCGTGTGATGGTAACGCATTCGTCCTTCCGGTTCATTTCGGGGTTTTTGGCATATATCCAAAATGCCCCAGGAGTTTTGCGCTAGATGTTTTTGACTCCTGCGCTAGGATCGTGACAGTCACATCAGACTCTTTGTTGTTGTGTTTTTGTGGCATATGTAAATTCAAAGGTCTGCTATTATCTATATTGAATATGTCATCTAGATGTTCTTTTATAAGGACAAAAAGTGGTGTACCCGTTTCACCTATATATTCATCCTCGCATGTCGCATCTGTCAACAAAGAAATTGTGCCCGATCTCATAAAATCCCCCTCCTTTCAGTTAGGGCAGATTATAAAGTTTTTGGTGTTGCACAATCGAGCTAAAGCCTATTGCGGATCAGCTGATGGTGTAGGGTGGGACGTGGGATTTCAATAACTACCACGGAATTATCAAGACCGCATCTTTTTGAGCACCTTTTAACCAGCAACGCGATAGACTTTACGATCGATTGTGCAACACCAGAAATGTGTAATCTGCCGTGACAGAAATGAGAGGGATTGTATGAGATCGGGCGCAATTTATTTGCTAACATATACGACATGCGGGGAAGAATATAAAAACGAAACGGTTAGACAACTTTCCGTCCGTATAAAAGAACATCTAGATAGCAAATCCAATACATTTAAAAACAAACCTTTAGATTTACATAGGGCACAAAACACAACGACAATTATTTTGATGTGACTGTCACGATCCTAGCGCAGGAGTCAAAAACATTAAGCGCAAAACTCCTAGGCATTTTGAACACAGGCCAAAAACCCCGATATGAACCGGAAGGACGAATGCGTTACCATCACACGAGATTTCGCTCCCTTTCTTCGCTTGACCTTTTAACCTGACCTAGGCAGCATATAAACAAGATTCTCCGATTCATTTAAATAAAGTAATACTACATACGCCCAGGATCTGAAGAAGGTGGGTCGACGAAGCGTCGGCCGAGTTACTATTACTTTACAGCTAATCAAGATAAGTTTCTCTCAACTCTCATATATCAATTAATTATGCTGAGGTTTATAAAAAGTTGAACTTCTGAATGCTAAAGATAATTGAATCATCAGCTATCTGTCATTTGCCTTAGCTTGTGCAGGGCTTAAGTCGCTCCGAGAATGTCAAATATGGATATACTAGTTATTCTTGCTTTATTTCCTTTTCGTCGTGAACTGAAGTGCAATCTCCTACCTTGTAATGGTTGCGCGACTTCCGATGTTCTTTGGAAGCTTCGTGGGGTAACCATCAGCTATTTGCTTGGCTTCTTTTTCCAACTTACAGCTACACTTTTGATCTTATTGAGATCTGAAGCTTTTTTATGTAATTCCAGTGTTGTAAGACATCGTTTCACTACAACTGCACAATGAGCATTGTGGTTAACTTATGAAAAATGTCATCATCATTGCACATAAATGTGTTTGAGGTAACGTAAAACGTAATTCCAAACCCGAAATTAGCAGTGACAAAACTATAAATATAGTAAGTAAAAAACAGTTTAAGTATTCTGGAGGGATACCAGTTTTTCTCTTTTCGTGTTGTTTATGTCTGCCCAATAGTAATCCATCCGTTTCTCTGCAAGTCTCCGAAGTTTCACTGAAAGAAATAATCGTTCTAGTCTGATAGTGTTTTTTTTTGAAAGCTCTAATGCATTCTACGAATATTACAACATTCCTCAAGTTATCTTTTAGTACTATTAATTGAGGAACGGATAGCATAGAAATAGACCTAGCGTTATCACGCACATACTGCTGGCTTAACACCGCTCAGGGCCGCCGAGCTTTCCGTCACTCCGGGGTGGGATGTGCTACACTTGTCTTGGAGGAATTCACACAAACAATATAAATAGGAGCGAACTCAGGAGCCTATTCTAGGACATCTGGAGGAGTCGATTAGACTATCATTCAACAACGCTCATGAAGAAAGGAGCTTCTTAACCTTTACCCAATATCACACACATAATGCTTATGAACTTTTGCCGAAGACGGATATGAAAAACGAGACGAAAAGAAATGTTGATATTCTTGCAGCTGATATGGACATGGATTACATAATAATTTTCAATAATAACCACCTGATCTCACTTTTGGTGAAAAATATTTAAGTGCCTGTTCTGACGTGGATGACGATTTCCTGGGTGTTGCACGACCAAGCTACTGCCCAAAACCATAATTACTGAACGAGAATACTGCTTAGTTTGATTGCACGTCTTATCTCCGTTTGGCTCAACACTATTTCGGCAAGTCAGTTATCGTAGCCTAAACGGCTCGAGGTCTCATATATTTACAAGATCTGCGCGACTGTGATAACTGCTGGTTTTCAAACAATGAAGATAGCTCAGAAAGGAAGCCCCAGGAACCGATGTTTTGGATAGTGCATCATGAACGATGATGGAAAGTGTCACGATGATTCCAATACATTACGTAATTATACCCAATATGTGGAGTACTGTGCAAAAACGTTTGCGTCAGCCGGGATTCGAACCCAGATCTCACACTTTCCGCACTCGTCTCTGCAATGGTTAGCATACGCTCCCGGAAAGAGTGGGATCTGAGTTCGAATCCCGGCTGACGCAAACGTTTTTGCACAGTACTCCACATATTGGGTATAGTATAAGATCATGCCACTGCAAGTGGCAGTCAAAATAGAAAGAATTTGTTTTGTAAAATCATATTTGATCTCCTGTAGTTACTAACTGATTTACGATTACGATGCTAACTGAGGTCTAAACTTGTTAGATAAAGAGCCATTTGTTTTTTATGAGCTTTCACACATTTGAGATGCCGATTATCGTTTGATCTCTGCCTGAACAATCAATATTTCAGTATAACGATAAGACTCTTCTAAGTCACCACAAATTTTCATTATGGATAACAATTTGGTTCTCGCAATCCAAGAAATGACCGTTTTAGACACTTGATCTCTACTGTTGAGGGTACTGTATGGTGGCATAAAAAGATTTTTAAAAATAAAAGTTGGCTATGGGATATATTGAAATGACGAGGTATTAAGAGAGATTACAATCATGAGATATACCTTTCCTTCGAGTGCTTTATTGAGACCACGCTCAAATTTCAATAGATCCTTTCATTATTATTTGAGCCAACATGTCACGTGGTCTGGTAAAGGCTCTTGTACAGCCCGAGACACGTGTTTCGTCCTTACAGACTCATCAGCCGGGCAGAACCCGTCGTCTGTCGATCTTTTCATAGTCAGTTCTCTCGGGAGCGTCACACTCCTTATATATAGTTATCGACGACCTATGCTTTACACTCTTTGTCAGGTGAAACATTCACCTAACACTGAGTGTTTTCGCACTCGATTGCTAGCTGGCTGGTATTTTTATCATGATATACCTTTCCTTCGAGTGCTTTATTAAGACCACGCTCAAATTTCAACAGATCCTTTCATTATTATTTGAGCCAACATGTCATGTGGTCTGGTAAAGGCTCTTGTACAGCCCGAGACACGTGTTTCGTCCTTAGTGTTGTCGAGATGGATCAACATCCGTTCTCCCTAGCTAATGCTTGGTATTATAAGAATGATATCATTAGCAAAGCAAAGATATAATTTTCGACCATCGACTTTCACTCCCATATCGTCCCATTCTAATATTGGCATGATCTGGAGGGTGGCAGTGAATAGTTTTTGTAAAACTGTGTGGCCTGTATAACCCCTTATCTTACGTCGTTAGTAATATCACTATAAAATGACAATATTTTGACTGTGATATCTCTATATAGCTCATTCGGGATCGTTATGTACCAAATATTATGTTATGGAACTCCTTAGTTATCCACTACCTCTAAGACCGCTTCTGTTTCCACTGAATCAAACGCTTTCTTCAAATCGATAAAAATACGACAGAGCGGTCTTCTGCGTTCTTATGAAACTTCAGTGAGTCTTCTGATCGTAAGGATGTGGTCTGTAGCACTAAATCCTTCATAAAACTCTGCTTGTTCGCATGGCTCTACTTCGTCCAGTGTTTAGCCAATTCTGTTGAGGATCATTCTCGTAAGGAGTCTATAGGCGACTGACAGCAAGCAGATTGGGTAGTAATTTTCTGAGTCATAAAGGTTGACCCTTTTGGAAAAGCATTGTCTTTCTGGCTTTCCATTGGCTGGCAACTTTGCATTTGAAAGGTTTTGTGTGAAGATCCGAGCAAGGGTGCTAATAAGAACTCGCGATATGTTCTTTAGGTGTTTTGGCCTTATCCTGCCTGAATCAGGTGTTATCCTGACGATATAGCGCGCCGGATACTGGAGGGAGAATTGGTGAAGCGATGAATAAATACTCTTTCAATTCATATGACGACAGGAGGACATGGCTATGAAAGAGATCCAAGTAGTGGTAGTGTATAATTTTCGCCGTCGCCTATTTGGAGAATCAGTCTAAATTCTTTTTATTTTGACTGCCACTTGCAGTGGTATGATGTTATAGTATACCCAATATGTGGAGTGCTGTGCAAAAACGTTTGCGTCAGCCGGGATTCGAACCCAGATCTCACTCTTTCCGGGAGCGTATGCTAACCGTTGCACTACCAACGCCCGTTTTTTGCACAGCACTCTTATTTACGTCTTTATACCCAGCACTCTTATTTATGTCTTTATTTATTTTTTATAAGAAACGAGCGTCGGTAGTGCAACGGTTAGCATACGCTCCCGGAAAGAGTGAGATCTGGGTTCGAATCTGGGCTGACGCAAATGTTTTTGCACAGCACTCCATATATTGGGTATTTGGAAATTGTTAGTGCTCCGTCAGGACGTTGTAGCGCAATCGTCTTAGATTTGTAACGAAGCCTCGATAGCGAGCTTGGAGAATGCTCTTCCCTGCTACTGCAGCTGCGGACATGACTGCTGCTGCTGTCTCTTCAAAGTCCTCTTTTATCGTTTTCTGCAAAGTTTTGCAAAATCGGTTTTGATTGTCTACTGTTCGTGAGATTCCTCTTTAACGTATCAGCTATAAAAGGATAAAGGATAAAGCTCTCGGCGTTGATCAATCCCTGAGGGATGCGCCATGCATTTGACTTCAATTTTTAACTTCGTTTGAGGTGATTGAATGCACATCTGGCCTTTACAATGACTCGCGGTGGCCTCCCGCTAAACCGAGTCAGTGCTGCTTATCCTCCCAGACAAGTCTGAGACCTGTCTGGTACCAATTTACCGACCCCGGAGGGATGGATGGCTTGGTGAGCCATGAGCGCGAGATCGAACCAGTGGCCTCGTGTGCGACGCAGGGCACCTCTAACCACTGCGCCACATGCGCTCTATCAGCTATAGTGGTGAAGATTTTGAGTGGCTCGATCGTATTCTCGACGATGTTGTCAACAACGGTATCATTCCAAGAGTCGAGTAATAATATGACTTTATTCCAGTTTCTGATAGTTCTGCGACTTCATTGTTCAAATTTAGCGTCTTTCTCTCCTTTTCACGAAAAATGGAACGTCGTACAGGAGTCCGTGTTTTGATCCCGGGTAGGAACTTAGGAACAATAGCCATTTCGGCCAGGCAGAACCTTCAATTTACTAAGATGTGATCTGTTTCGCTATGGTACTCTGCGTTGGGAGCCCCCCCCCCCCATTCACTGCCGAGAGAGAGGTTTGCGGAAAAAAAATTATGCTAATCATTGTAGTCCTGCACCGCTCCCAAGCGGTCAGTTAACTACTCTCGCCTGTCTATTATTTATTTGTTTCGGTTTGAACATCTCTCAAACTCTTATATTTGAACATTCTCCGAATCAGCTGGAAGGAATTCTGACTAACGGATCCGCTGCTAGAAAAATATCCCTTGGGAACGATACTGTCGAAACCGGAAAGCGTCTTTTCGGCCCTAGAACATCAACGATCGGTCGGTCAACTTTACTCTCATTAAACCCAATAACATCGATTCATTTGAACAATGGACGCGTTCTACCATCAGTTCCATCAGTTAGAGGAAGTCATCCGTAATGATAAGGCGTATTACAAATTCGTTGTCGGCGACATCAACGCCAGATTAGGAATGGCTAACGAGAGCGAACACAGGGTTCAAATTTGAATTAGAAGAGAGAAAAGAAAATGGAAATCGTCTTGCTGAATTCCTGTACGCGTCACGTCTCTTCAACGGAAAACCAATTTTTTCGGAAGAAGGAACACCGTCGCTGCACATGGGAGTCTTCTAACGGCACGATGCATGCGAAAATCGACCATATACTTACCAATAGAAGATTGGTGTCTGCTCGACACAACAGTTGTGCCATCGTCCTTTACTTGATCCGATCACCGCTTTCTTCAAGCAGACACGATTTAGCTGTCCTGAGGTCAGCACAATTCGTGAAGACGGACCGTCTAAGTATCCAAGAAAGGAAGTAAGTAATCATGCAAATATTACCTTTATTGAGAGTTTCTCATTCGAGCATGCAATTTTCATGATCATAGATGCCACCAAGCAAGCATTTGACAATTCAACTCCTTCATTCAACTTTTCACATCAGAAGTTTCGGTTACAGTTGCTGAATTCGAGCGTTGTTTTTTCATGGACTAAGACTTATTCATGTACTGAGAGCATGAGAAAAGGTAGAGGAGATTAGAAAGGGTTTGCAAGAGAAGAGCAGTAAAGAATATTTCCCGACCCGAGAAGGAAAACCAGTTCATTCTACGGAAATCGCGGCCAAAAGCAGAGAGAAGTAGCCTCCACGCATCGATGCCTTTGGTTTGGCACCTTCCGTTCAAAGTGTTTTACACGCGATTTTTGTCCAATCAGTCGGCTTTTTTCTACTGCACAGGAAAATTAGAGCGCTTTTTCCTAATTACTCTCTATGCCTTTCTCTACACGCTTATATGCCTGTGATGCTCAAATATTTTTTATAATCCAAGAAAAAAAGATATTCACATGCACTGTAGGTGCAATGGAATGTTTGGTTGGGAGAAAACGATTGTTGTCTCTTATCATATACGTTTGTTATAAACTTATTGCGTGGATCTCAGCACTTTTTATATTTGGTTTGATTCCTCGCACTCATATCCCGCGAAAGTCTTCGAACATCTCAAGTGTTGTTCTGGCTGCTGGTTGCTGATTCCCTACTTTCCAACGAGTTTCGTACAATGTTAATGGAGACGATTATCATTCTAAAATCGATGCTTAGGAATGCCTGACCAAACTTAGGAATTCACAGGCAACCAATTGATCGATTTCAAGAGGGTATTGGGGGAGAGAATCAAGCCAGGGCATAGATTATCAAATCGCTTCCTGAGCATTATTCATTATTGGCCAGTACGCCAACCTGCTCGTGAAGAATACATAATCTGCATAAGACAGTGTAATTAAAGCAAACAAAATAAACTCTGTGAAAGCGTCTGCATAACTCTATCAGTATATAAACACTACAGGAGAGGTTTGTGCCCCAAAACTGTCCGTGTTATATGAACGAGACCTCGTCGTCAATCTCTTAATGATCCAGGATGAAAAAGATTTTTTTGAAGACCGAAAAGGGCTTAGATGTTTTTTTTCCATGCTCAACTGAAAAGGTCTGTAAAAGTCCTGTACGAAACGTGTGACTTCTATCAAGAGTGCTTGATTATGGAGAAACTACAAATATTTTACCTTTCAAGCAAATTGATGACCGATAACTTGAAAAAGTAATCGTCATTTCGACTAGTGAGTTATAAGTAGGACCGACATGTTGTGTGAAACTTAACACGATCACAGCAATATATAGAAAGAAAACATGAAGAGCAGACCTGCAAATGCAATCGTTAGATTGATTAAGAAGCTTCGTCGCAGAAACTCCCCAATACGTATGTCTGTCATCTTCATCGCCTTCGACTTCAGACAGAAGTTGAACCAAAGTTTTATCCATACCGAGGATGTCCCTAGTATGAATGAAACGCGGGTTCAACTCTCCCTCTGAGGTCGAATTTGTGCTTACCACTCACTTTTTTAAGTATGTTTGAAACATTATAACACTGCAAAAAGCAGCAAAAACATAAAAAATTCTAAAATTATATCCTTTCATCACTTCATTTTTCCTTCAAGAATTTCCGTGTGATATCTCGTGTTTATGGCTATTTTCTCACAATCATCAACCGGCTTTCGGTTGCAGGTCCGGCTTCTTACTCCCCTTTAATAAGCCAGTTAATTTGAGTAGAAATGAAGGAGTAAATGTTTTGTTTTCAGTGCCGATTTAACACTCACCAAATTTACTGAACGGCAAAGAGTAGCATTTGTTTTCAATGGGAAGAATACAAATAGAGTACGTTGTGAACTAAATATAAGTTCATTGAACACATAGTCAATCCGCCATGTACACTGCTCTTAAGATCTGCAAAAATGATGAACTTCTGCGAAAGCCGGAGACATCCAAATATTATTAATAGCTTGCCTCAATGATGAGCAGAAAAAATTTCAAAAATTTGAAATAAGGATAAAGTAGAGGCATGGTGGTAATATAAGGAGTATTGATGAAATTTAGCTTGGTGTCTTATGTATATCAATAAGGGAATTGTTGATATATAACTTTATAATCCGCACAATGAATAAATTTACCGCGTAGACATCAGTGCAGATGTTTTAATACACTGGCAGCCATGTGAGTTTAACACGTTGCTGCTAAAAACTGCTCTTCTGTTGTCTGTATTTAGATGTTCTTATAGAGCGAGTGCTCAAATAATAATGAAAGGATCTATTGAAATATGAGCGTGGTCTTAATAAAGCACTCGAAGGAAAGGTATATAATGATAAAAATACCGGCCAGCTAGCAATCGAGTGCGAAAACACTCAGCGTTGGGTGAATGTTTCACCTGACAAAGAGTGTAAAGCATAGGTCGTCGATAACTATATATAAGGAGAGTGACGCTCCCGACAGAACTGACTATGAAAAGATCGACAGACGACGGGTTCTGCCCTGCTGATGAGTCTGTAATGACGAAACACGTGTCTCGGGCTGTACAAGAGCCTTTACCAGACCACATGACATGTTGGCTCAAATAATAATGAAAGAATCATGAGATATATTGAAATATTAGGAGTGGTCTTGAAAAAACCTTCGAAACGAACGTCATAATATTTAGATTTCAAAATACCACCTAAGAGTAATCGAGTGTACAAAACTGCCAATCCAGTGATTTTCGCTTGATGGCAGTGTAGTGTAAATCGTTCGTCGTCGCTTACTCTTAGTGTAGGGACTGTAGCACCCACAGAGGATTGGTCAAAAGACGAAGAGTTCTGACCGACTGACGAGACTGTCTTTGTCGAAACACGTTTATCGGGTTGTACAAGAGATCATCAACGATGGAGTGTGGCGCAGTGGTTAGAGGTGCTCTGCGTCGCACACGAGGTCAATGGTTCGGTCTCGCGCTCATGGCTCACCAAGCCATCCATCCCTCCGGGGTCGGTAAATTGGTACCAGACAGGTCTCAGACTTGTATGGGAGGATAAGCAGCACTGACTCGGTTCAGCGATGGGCCACCGAGAGTCATTGTAAAGGCCAGATATGCATTTAATCACCTCAAACGATGCTAGAAATTGAAGTCGAATGCATGGCGCATCCCTCAGGGATTGATCAACGCCAAGAGCTTTATCTTTTTTTTTTACAAGAGCTCATTTAACAGACCACATGACAAGTTGGCTCAGATAGCAATTGTGAGATACATTAAAGTAGGATTAAGCATTGTATCGCATTAAGATCATATTTCGTTTTTACTTTTTTTTCTGCTGAAGACATTTT